TATATATCACTAGAATCCCACACTGAACATGTGGAGGGACAAGTGCAAGGGTAAAAAAGAAGCATCCAAAGGACACTCCCAAAAGGAGGATTTTCAGAGTCGAAAATCATATGTGGGTGACTGCACCATTCTGTACCAGGTATACTCTTCTTGTTAAGTAATTATGGTCTTACAGTGTGCCTTTTAATAGTGTAAGTATATCTGGACAGGCACCACTTGCCACAGAGTGGGATCCACAAAGAAAAGAAGGAGATGCCCCTGAAAATATGAGGTATATATATATATATATATACTAAAAGATAATTTACACAGTTATAGTCTCACGAAAGAGAAGAGGATGGCAACAGGTGGATGATGGTACCCTAACCAGGAAGAAACAGCTATCCAAAGCAGAGAATGGGAGATGAACATTTGAGGTGTAGTCCCAGTGCTCGATAGACGAAGTACCTCAAACGGACGACAGGGTTAATATACAGGGAAAAGGTGCATGATCGTAGTGAAGACACTAGGAATTGATGACGGAAAGAAGGATACAAGGAATAAAAGGCCAATAGAATCATAGACAAAGAAGTGGAGTAAGAGAAAGAAACCGTGGGAATGGATTCCATGGAAAGAAGCCATAAAAACAATGAAGCAACCCACAAAATGTACTGTACAGACAAGGTCATCTGGATCAAACCAAGAAAAAATGTGGAAGCTGTCACAAAATGAAAAAAATGAACAAGAATATAGCATGCAAGCCACAAAAATGTAGAAAAATAAAATCAATCCAGAACAAAAGAAATAAATCGAGCCGAAACAACCGAGAAAACCAGATCTGTACCAGACAGAAAAGATCTGAACCGGAGTAATGTAGATGAACAATCATTTTGGGAAGAAGACTGATGGAATGAGAAAAAACAACTAACATTATAAACTGGATGTAATCCTGTCAGAAAGTATTAAAAGCCAGAGCAAGTGGGTGATGAACTAGAGACCAAAAACAAAAGAGGGAACTACCTGGAATTGATAAAAGATTCAAAAATGTCAAATGGTGGAGTACCCCCCAGATGGCAGAGCCACCAACAATTTTGGAGGATCGAGAGGTCACTTCTTGGGAGAAAGTGTGTCAAGACTGGAAAGTCAATTAGCAATGAGGACAAAAGCACTTTGAACACAACCCTCCAAGAGATGTATGTCAAGTGTGTGGTTTCAAAAAGGGAGATCCACTGTCTATCACAAAGGGAACAAGAATGAGTGTCTCCTTGGTGAGTGATAGAAGCCACCATCATTGAAGAGTCAAAATAAAACAAGATTAGTCAAATCTGGACAAAAGGAAGAGAGTGAACAAAAGCACATTGGACTGACAAAAGCACCAGGTGTGAAGGTGATAAGACATTTTGCCTGTAGACCACAGTCCTGAAGCTTCCTACTAATGAAACCACATCCCCACCTCTGCAGATGAGTATGAGTGAAAAGAAATAATCTAAAAGAGGGAGAGAAAGCAGTAAACCCAACATTGTAGGGGATTGACTATCAATGCATATAGATGAAGTGGGAAGGATGAAATTAAAAGGAAAATCAAATGAATGACTTGGATACCGAAAACTCCATTGAATGCATTTGAGGAGGAGAATGGATGGTCTCAACGGAGAGGTGTTTAAAAATACCAACCCCAAAGAGACTAAAATGTGAGATATGGAACAGGAAAAACATATCCAACTGGAAAATTCAACTACCTGAGCTGACAGTGGAAGGGATATATGAGTATGTTAAGACTACTACTTTTCGGAAGGAGCTAACCAAAGCTAGACAGCCAATGAATGTTGTAGGTAAAATTCCCCAATATGTGGAAGTTGGGGAAAATGCAAAACACCACACAAAAGATATTTGGAACTAAAACAAATTCAAAGGGCAGGGCATGAAACTGGGACCAAAGCATGTGATGAAAAAACCTAAAATAGCAACCCTAGAATGGAAAATAAGAATGTGTACCACAGGCATTCTCAGTCATGCAGAAATAGCCTACCCAAATGTGATCAAAGACTACATAATAAAATGGAGAAAACCCATGAAGTGACTGAGGCAGAACTGATTGATCCAGAACACCAAACAGCATTGAGCACACAAACCAAATGGAGAAAACCTGTATGAAGGACAGGTAAAGGATGGGAAGTTGCAGGACATGTAAATAAATAAAGATGACAATATCTCATAATGAAACAAAAGAGCAAGTAAAAAAATTTAAAATAGCATGGCAGATACTCCACATGATGCTAAATATAGAGGAGCCCCAAAAACTGTTAATTAATAAAATGAAATAAGTGTGTATTAACAATAACTTATGTATGAGACGTGATGTAAGGAAGAAAAACAATATAGTTAAACGAATGATTGATATACCACTAAGATGAATTCTAAAATAATAAAGACCCTGATATCAGTGATATAGGAAAAAAGATAGAACTAAGCCTAACTTTTAACCTGAACTGGCCTATGAATACCAATTAATCTAATGAAACTTGTGTTAAAGAACTCAAATAACTACAGATAATAATATTAAAAATCAAATAATTCAAAAACCATAACACTATAACATCTTATCTTTACAAAGGTGGCAGACTGTATGTCAAAATGTGTGGGCCCCCAAACTCGGTCATCTCATTGAATGATCAATCTCCTGAAGAAGTAAAGCCGAAAATCTTCCTGCGGAGTACCGCTACCTGAAGCCTGTGTATATGTGCTGATAGAGCATATAACCTCTAAAATGGTAACATAGAATTCATAATGCAAAATGAATAACCAAATACAATTATGTTGACAGAAATAAAAAAAGTATTTGTAAAAAAAAAAGTATTAAAAGTAATAAGTTCTATAACAAGGTATAAATAAAACAATTCCACTTCAGAATAACTCAACAAGTTACAAATATCCCTATTGTATAATAAAGAGGAAACTTGTTGAGAGAAATTAATACAAAGATACTGAAAAAATTAAAATTAAACACTTGAAGAGAACACAAACTAAACATTACAACACCAGTACTGCCAAACAAGAAGGGTGGACGGTTGTTGCATGATGATTTGCCTGCAAGATGCATTGGAATCAGTCAATTTCAGATGAGTGGGAGCTTCAAGGCTTGTGGAATGGGCATACAATTTTTGCATATAGTGGGCAGCACTGTGTGAGAATAGGCAGATGCATTATTTGAGGGTCAAAAATGCTTTCACCTAACAGTGGTAGGCTAAATCACAAAGTTCTGATAACCGTGTCAGATAAGGCATAACTGTCCCTTCCTGTAACTGAGAAGTAAACCTCCCAGCATGAACCACAATATCTGTGGATGGAGAGAAAACTAAAAATTTGCTCCCAGACTTTTCAGCCATCAAGTAAGGTGCAGGCTTAAATACAACCAGGGAAAGGCCTAAAACATCACACTCTCAATGAACCATCAGAAGAAAACGAATCAATGGCAGCTTATTCCAAAGTAGCCTCCTTTTTGTTCATATAGGTCATTTAAAGACTGTGTTTATTACCATTGATTGAAACAACATTTTGGCAGGTAAATTAGTTTTGTTAGAGCAAAGCAACAGTGGTCCATCTGCTGTGTCCACCACGGGGAATCGAACCTCAGACTCCAGTTCTGCAAGTTCACAAACTCACTACTGTCCTACAGGGGGACTGAAAAGCCAACAGACTAAAAGAAGGCATAGGAAAAAGCAAATCTAAATCATCTCCAGAATGACGAAGATCGCCCTCAATTGCAAAACTCTCAAAGCCCCCCAGGGGAATGCCACAGAACTGAATATATGTCTTCATCTTACTACAAGTTAGATTACTGATAGTCTCAACTGAGAGTGACTCTTCCCCTCCCCCTGATTGTTGTGCAGTGCTAGATATCAGATGTAGGATAGGAAAGACCTGATTTGCCTTCGTGCCATAAATTGTAATATGGGAATTCATACCATAAATCAGCTTGCCAATCAGAATTTTTAAAAAATTATTTATTTATGATTATTATTACGACTATGAATGATATAACACAGATAATGTTCAAAGTATCTCCAAAATGATCAAAATACTGTGAAACCCGTTAGTGATGCTTTGTCGAGAAGAAGTGATAACATTATCTGAATGAGGTGCTTATATAGAGTACAAGGATAGAGGGCACATTGACGTAGATGGAGAGTGTCATGAGATAAATATCACTAGGGGCAATTGAGTGGAGTAAAAAGACTGGAGCAAGCGAGAAAAAATCAGACCAATGCTAGCAAAGGAAGAAACCCTGGCAGTCAAGTAATAGCTATAAGTGGGAGAGTAGGAAAGTATGTTTTGGAATAACAGTTTCTCACTTCGGAATTCTCATTTTGATAACTTTTAACATCACAAACACAGCTCAAAACAGGAGCGAATAAGAGCTCATGATGTGGTGCTGCTGCTGAATTACCTAATTAAACTATACATAATTTTGTGTTTAATTTTATTTGAAGTAGATTCCTAAAGCTTAAATGTGACTGCTTATATATAAAATAAACTAATTTATAACAAGTAATTATGTAAAAAGGAAAACAATACAAATCTGTCAACTGTGGTATTATAATGACAAACCACATCAATACATAATTCACCTCAAAATTTTGTGATGAAGAAAGTCAGTCTAAGATAAAATCATAATTAAATGCACAACTAAATTAAAATCAATGTAATGTTAAGATGGATGAATTTCACTTATCAGCTTTTATAGAGAAAAAACTACTTAAGCAACAAAACAAACACGACACAAGATGCTTTTTTCATCCAAAGCTGAATCATTCACACTCCAGCTACATGGGCTGCTTACATCATTCATGTACATTCAACAAAATTGGTTACTTATCATAACTTCTTGTACTGTTTAGAAATGCTTATAACTATAATTTTTCTACTAGTTTTCTTTTCAAACACTATTATCATTATATTTACACATTAAAATTACTGGAAAGATGTAAACTAAACTAATAAATTAAGTCTAGATGACTTGCCTGTTTTCCAACTTCTCTTTTGACTACAGCATTTGCATAGCAGAATGTAACAAACAGCCCAATAACCACCAAGATACCTAAATTTACAAATAACAAAGGTCATAGAAGCTAGGTAACATCTTGAAATTCACCTTCTATCATAAAAAGATATTCTAGAGTATAGTGTAGTGTAGTTTTACCACAGTTCCTCCTTTTTCAAAATCATCTGAGTTTAGGTTGTGGAATACTTCATATGAGTCTGTATGACAGTGTGTGAAATGTGTTAACAAATATGAAGATATATACATAATACACAATAAAAAGATACTGTTAATTTAAGTATTTAATTCATAAATCAGTATGCCACAGATTAATCTGACACATGCATTAACACTGTAATATTGACACTTTTTTAGGTTAATTTATTGTAATATTTATGTACATTGAACAAATATACAAAATCAGAAGCACATACTGAACTAGATACATGCATATGTTAGTATATGTGCATGTACAGTCAAAAAAATTAAAAAAAAAAATCCTGAATATCCTCCTGAAACTTTATTCTCCTACTCTGCTAAAATTAAGTCTGCTTGGGTATCAAATACAAGGAGTTAAAAGTAAATTAACATCCACAAATACATGCAACTAGGATCTCTCTCTACCATGCTTAAAGTTCATAAAAGACCTTTCAATACCAACTCTGTAACCTTAAACATTCATCTCACATTACAATACTGATATAATTTTGGTACTACTACTTGTAATCATAACTTTGACTTTAAAATACCAACTCTGTTATACAAAGACCAACTATTTATCACATTCCAATTTTAATAGACATAAAAATACAGTTCTTGTCTACCATATTAGCACTGACACCCTTTCAATATAAACTCAACTGCCTTAAATACTTGTTCCTCACATTTCACATTCAACACATAATTAGAAGTGAGCAACTTAATTATCTATGAGCAGCAATTACATTGATTAGTCTCTCTTAAACTAATTAATTAATCAAAATTAGTTCTTCTGGTTATTCCTGTTTTTGATTATTCCAAAAGTCAGTTCATCAAAATTATAATTGAACTGATTGTCACAAAAATATCTATCTAAACAAAATTAGGATTTCCAACAATTTACTGTTTTTGATCATTTCAACTACCCAAGGAACAAAATATAGGCAATACATATTATTGGGGGATTTATTATTGTAAAGCCACTAAGGATATCTGCCACTGTGACTAATTTTAAACTGTTGACTAGAGAGAAGGTAAGTGGTTGGGAGCACCGACTACCAACTCTTTGGCTATTTAAGTGTTAAGTAGTGTAAATTTACTGTTTTTTAACATAGTGTTATGTTTCTAATTTATAATTGTGTAACTGTGTTCTCTAATGTTGTATAGGTAAATGCAGATATAGGGGAAGGGGACTAGGGGTTCAGAAATGTACTTCTAAATTAGAATTACTGTAATATTAAATTGGATGAGGTTCACTTATGAATTTATATAGAGAAAAAAACTACCTTAGCAATAAAACAAAGCAAACTTTACACAACATGCTATTTTAACTGAAGCTGAATCATGTACACTCCAGCTACTTTTATTGTTTTTAAATAGTTAACTGTTCCTTGTATTTGAAACAGGCTCTAAGTCCTTAAGTTTCTCTATGATCTAACTGTGTAAAAATATGAATTAACAGAATTATCTCAAATTCCTGTTGTTTCAATGTGCCCATTAATCGAGGTTCTACTGTATCTCTCTGCAGAGAAATAACAATATAAATCTCATTACTTTCACAAGAAAAAACAACTCACCAATTCGATGATCAAAAACCATCTTCATCAGAAGAATTAATAAAAATGGAACATATTTTTCAGCAAGAGACAACAATGCTCGAATTTCTGGATTATTACGAAGTAGCTCAGAAGCATCCTCAACTGGTCTGCCAACAGAAGGTCCTCCATTTCCAGAGTTGTTTCTGTTTTCATCTGAAGTAGAGGTCGTGGGGGTACCAACTCCACCACTAGCAGAAATATTTCTTGGATGTGGTTCTCGCTGTCTGTGACCCATACCACTCATATCTATCACAAAGTCTCTTGCACCTTCTGCAGTAGAAGTAATACCAGCAGTTGCTGTAGATACAGGACTTGGTTCAGTTATGGTAGTTTGTAGCCAGGATGATATGCCTGGTCCACTTCCTCTTTCAGAAGAAGCTGGTTCTTCTGCTAATGGATTTATACCTCGAATAACATGGCGTATATCATCACTGATACTCCAAGAGCTAGAATTGGTTATGTTATGTAGTTGGGATGGTCCAAGGGACCAATGGAAATGAAAAGATGGCCGACCTCTGCCAAATGGAAAGATACGATGACCTGGACCATCATGACTTCGACTTTCTTCATGTTCAGCCATGATATTCACTGTTTCACTGTAAAATATAAAAATAAAAATCAACTAATATATAAGTCTTTTTTCTTTCTTATGTTTATTATAATATTAATTTGACAAATTTATTTTGGATTAGTTTCAATTTATTTTTGAGTTTTTAGTGAACCTCTTTATTATTTGTGTACATCTTCTCAAAACTACATGTACCACTAGTATTGTAAAGGTTCCATCATAATTAGAAGAAATGCTAATTCTTTGAAACAATTATAGCCTTTAGACAAAATCTGTCTTCAATTTTGTGATGAGGTTAGGGACTTGGACAGAGTATGATCCTGTAATGATCTTTACTGTTACTGATCAACCAGATAAAGTGCATCCTCAATTGCTTCACATTCTTTTCCAACTGAACTGAATACCCTAGTTTGATCCCAATCATTGTCTGAAATTAAGGACTCCCATAATTAGCACATAAAAAAAAATATGTATTTGTAACAACTCTGATCTCAATACACAATTTCATATTGACCTGATTTCTGATCAGATGGCCTATAACAATTAAATATTAAAAACGTTTTTTACCTCTGAAACTTCTAATTGTTACAAATAACCTCTTCATTACCAATTTTTGTCTTCAATCCCAAGAGGCTGCAGCTCATCTTTTATACAGAGATCTACTCCACCATCTATTTTAAAATATCTATTACTATTAAATAATTTATGACCTGGAATTTCAAAATAATTGATATTATCAATGTTCTCCAAGTCTTGCCAAATTTCAGTAATTCCTATTACACCAGTCTTCCATTTCAACTTGAGCCATGACTTCACACATTGTTTTTAATACTCCTAATGTTAGAATAATAGCACCTAAGCTTATTGTTAAATTTACTGTTTTTATTCTTAAATCTTACAGAGTCATCTTTAAAGTTATTATTTAACTTCTTATACTCTAAACACCTTGTTGCTCTAACAATCTTATCCATTTGCTTATTCCCAGTTTCCCAAGCTCCCTCACCACTATACAAGTTTAGTTTAAACTACATATATCTTTAACAAATTCCTGTGGAACTTCTCTAAACATCCTACTATATCACCTGCTTATTTCTACCCTGAAGACTATCTAACAGGTTTAAACAGCCCATCTGTTGCTGTAAGTATAACCCTAATAATTTTCACTTAATCCTTGGGTTCTGCTAAATAGTTCATTCACACATCATGTACTTTTGAAGCAGCTTTTCTGATTTAGAACTTCCAACATTGTCTGCTTCCACATGAACTAGAAAAAAAATAATACTCCTTGAAACCAGTAACTAAACTGTCAACTATCTCTATAATGACCTGAACTTTAGCATTTGGCAAGCAAATACTAGCCCAACCACCAATTACAAGTAACTTTATCAGTATACTTAATGAGAGTCCACACTAGGTAAACCTCTTGATCATCTTATTCCTCACTGAAAGCAAAATTTTAAATCAGGTATCTGAACTTGTCTGTGTAGTCCTAACTCTTTTATTACTGTGCACCATTACAAATCCGGTACTTTTATTCTACCAAAAACTATATCCAAAGCTTATCCATTTTCTGTCTTGATTTCTCTTCCTAATATGCTGTTTTCCCCCTCCAACAGTCTTCCTCAAAGCTATTTCTAATTTAATTATGAGTAAGCATGAAAGATCTGCAAACATAGTGTAAGTACTGTATTTTTCTATAAATTTGATCACTTATTTATTAACTACCTCTCAGTCAGAATAATGGTTTACTAGTCTTTATTCCATATTCTCAATCTAAGCACTCAATTATTGTCCCAGTATATTTAATTAAAAATAAGCTTTTTTCATAGTTTATACATTAATCTCTAAAATACCATTTTGACTAATAATGATACTATTAAGTACTAGTATTGCAACTACAATGAACACTATTTCACTGGTTACATGTAGCAAATTGTAAATCATTGTATTGAAGTATTAAATGCATTAAACATGCTACATGTGCTTACCAAATAATAAAAAGAATAATTTTAACTCTTAAGATAAATAATTTTTTCTTTACTTAGCTAACATGTGTGATAATTCTTTATTTTAATCTATTGTTTAATACTTTTAGTATCCTACACATAACATAGTACTATTACCATCTAGAAACAATAAAAAGTTAGGCTTAATGATCTATTATTGTGCTATACTCCCGTGAACTGAATTACTTTAGAGCTATTCTGGATAAGTTTGCTAAACAGGAGATTTGCTCAATGTATGGAATTGTAACTTATTGCTAAAGCTGAGTTAATAAAAAACAGAAGAATGAACTGGACAAAAGTACAACATAAAATGGTAATTTTTATTAGTGTAAAAAAAGGTGATGAGCTGGTCGAAGTGGAAAAATATAGAGAACCTTGAACTATGAGTAATTGATCTAAGCATGTACTAAAGGAAGAAGGTGGAGTAGAGGGTAGGCATAAAGGAATCCAAGAACCATAACAATTCACGGTGGCTCAACTGAGAGGGAAGTATATGTGAAAAAATGAAGGTGTTTAAGAGGAGGAGAAGGAAGAAAAGGAGATCCAGCTATTTTAACACTTGTTTCATCAAAAATTGGAGAAGCACGAAAGTGATGAAAGAAAGAGGGAAGCTGTATACCACTACATCTCAAGTGAGACACCTCTGAAAAACAATATCCCTATTGAGATGTTGCATGTGAGCACACTCCAATGGGATGACTTTGTGAAATGAAACCATTATCTTCAAAATAGAAAGAATGTCTTTAGTGGTAGGTGTGGATGACATGAGTATGTACATGGAACTTCAAGGTTTGCAACACTATAGGAGTCATCTGAAGTGTACCTTGAAATGTGTTGTCCAATAATACTACATGTAGAACATAGTATTATTACTTAAATGTGAATTGGGGATATAAATGATCCACCCAAAAGATGTGATCAGCTGAGTGCATATAAGAGTAGGAATATGTCAATCATTCACATCAAAGTAAAAATATATGCTGAGTGAATGGAGAAGACCAGCAAAAATTGAATTATTCAACAGAAAATGAACAAAACCAAAAGGAAGGGAAGTGAACTGATAACTGCTATCCCAAGAAAAGAAATGAGATGTCTCCAGGAATAGAAGAGTTCAGACAGGTCTATTACAGGCTTCTAATTCCTTTATATCTTCGGAATCACAAAGAGTTGAGAGTAAAAACCTGGAGAATCATGATAAACTATTTCAACACCGTAGAAAATTTGAGACTTCCTAACCCAGAATTTGTAACCAAGTGGAAAGGAATGAAGAGGAAAAAGACCAAAATAAAGGATCAAACCCACATATCCCATAGAAAAACAAATGATCTTAGATGAGCCCAAGACAGTTTATATGGGAGATTCATCTAGAACAGACAACAGTCACTGAGAGAATAGAGAAGATCCACCATGCTTACTACTTTTAACTACTGAGCAAGATCAAAAAAGAATGAGTAGAAGTAGCTGACATAGACTGGAAAATAGATGATGGATCAGTTGAACCTAATGATCTCAGGGTCAAGGGTCCCAAAGATGAATCAGTGATCTAAGATGATTCCCAACAGTCCATATGAGAAATTAGTCTGGAACACAGAAAATTCACTGAGTGAGTCGAAAAGACCCACCTTGCTTACTACTACTTTTGACCAACTAGAAACAATGCTATTTTAGACTTATTGTTAATTTCAAATACAGAAATGATTGAGAGGGTGGAAATTGGGAA